CATCCCTAAGTGATAAACATCCTGTATGACACCCGCCATCCCTTGGTCATAAACATTCTGTATGACACCCACCACCACCCCTTGTCAATACACATCCTGTATGACACCCACAACCACCCTTTGGCAATACACATCCTGTATGACACCCACCACCCCCCCTTGGCAATACACATCCTGTATGACACCCACAACAACCCCTTGGCAATACACATCCTGTATGACACCCACAACCACCCCTTGGCAATACACATCCTGTATGACACCCACCACCACCCCTTGGCAATACACATCCTGTATGACACCCACAACCACCCTTTGGCAATACACATCCTGTATGACACCCACCACCCCCCCTTGGCAATACACATCCTGTATGACACCCACAACCACCCCTTGGTAATACACATCCTGTATGACACCCACCACTACCACTTTGTCATACACATCTTACTCAGAGTCTCAGACAAAGTCACAATTGAAACATCTTACAAGTTACAAAATATGTCTCACTATAAAGTTTGGCAGTGTATGTATAGGGCGAGTCTTTAATTGACGTGTAGCCAAGTATAATCGTTCAAGTTATTATAGGTCTGTCTTTAAACCTCGCCTAAGTATGTTTTAATAGACGTCTAGTATACATAACACGGATATTTACAGACAAGTCAACAGATTTAGTTTTGGAACGTAAAGATTTGAAAAACATGAGCAATATGTACATTGTACAATTGGTATTTGAGGGCGATTTGTAATAGACCGAAAATTGCACTCTCTGAAATCATATCATATAATATATTGTCTAAAATCATACATACACTATTTTTGTTTTGTCGTTTGCATTTGTCATGCCGTTGCCAGGCTTCAATTTTTCGGGGTCCGAAATTCCAGGTTACAATCACTATAACGTTCTTAGCTCTGTGAGGAGATAAAAGTGTGCGTAACGCCTGGAATTCCGAGGATTTGCATGTTCGGGACATAATTTTGAAATGAACTGGCTTGGCGTATCATATCGGCTGTACATTATGAGGCGACCAATGTGGCGTTCCCTTCTAAAACATGCTATGTGTATGTTATTAAATACACTGTACAGTTAAAACTGATTTACTCATCTACTCCTATTTTGTGGTATTGTCACAGTCATCAGCTCGCTGTCACAGTACCCCTGTCCAAGCTGTGGAACTTAATTTCCCTCCAGATGCCAGTGGACAAACGTAAAGGTACTTTCCTACCTTCTCCTCCTTACACCTTGCTCGGTGTATTGATACGTGGTCTTTAACAGAGCCTTTGAGGAATTGACAACGGTACACAAAACGAATAAGACGCGTTATCGTAGCGCCTCGTGATAAACACATCGTATCATACCGTGTAATTTCATTACTTATAGAAATAAAACACACCTGTTGTTATATATAGGGACCACACGTGACAATTACCGTATGACCTGCTACTACTGGCTATATGAAGTGATCATACGTTTTTAAGTACGGATGGTACAAGGTGACAACTCCGCCGACAAGGCCGGCGACATTATCAGGTCTGTAAGCTTTAATTGAATCCCTGTTATTATTATCACTGTTTGAAAACTCTTTACCGTCTAAAGGTTTGTTAAATTAAAGTTATCGTCAGGTCGTCTGTTGACCCAGGAGTATCCATTATTGACCAGAACATCGATACATGTCATCCTTGTCTTGTTTTTAAATACGTGGGATATAGTTAAGTAAATAGTGTAGGACACTTGGTACATTGTAGCTAGGTGTGGAGGAAGTACATTCACGGGTATTTATATAAACAACATCGGATTGGTGTCTTACCATTGTGTGGACTTGAGTAGACTTCTCAGCTCACCAGCAATGGCAGCACTGACTCTGAAATAAGGCAATATATTGTTCTTATCTTGTTGAATGCACTTTGGGTCTGCAATCAGTGTTTATTGCACCTTTTGAGATTGTTCTCTTTGTTGAACAAAACGACAACTTACTTTTACACTCACGTGTCAGTTAATTCTCTGTCGACATGTTGATTGCGGTACAAGGTCAAGTTCCCAGTGTGTCGCCTTACCTAGGTAATCCTTACCGCAAGTCGTAATTTAATTAAAAGTATATATCTTTTTTTCTGATCTTAAGTTTACTTATTAAACAAGACATTTGGTCTGGGCCAGAGTTTAAATTTCGATATATATGTTTCCTTCAAAGAGTTGGACACGATCTGTGCCCATGTGGGGGATACTTGCAGTAATTAGAAAAGGTGAAGTGTTAGCGATTCGTGAATTAAATTTAAGATTGGATAGGACTTAACTTTTGATGCTTGAATGGTTGTGAATACACACACAGCGGCTAGGATGTAGGGTAAAGGGAAACAGAGACGTACACCATGATAACAGCAAACCGGTTCCATGGGTTCGGAATTGTTGCAAATCTTGCCATGACGCTGACCGCTGAATATCTCTCTACGGCTTCATTGAGTCAGCTCCAAAGAACCTCCGATGAATGTTCTACAACTCAATGATAGGTAAAGTCTTATTGGAGTCACAACCTCGCCGTGACGCTGAACGTGTGCTTATCTGCTGGGTTTCAGACACACCTGTGGGTACATGTACCATACTCCACAAAGTACTCTGTACACGGCTCCCCTGACATTGGGTGACAGGTACGTTCTGTGCCATGTAGGGACGTACGCGAAATGTGGTGGAACATTATAATCCCTTCTGCCCGTGCACATGTTACATTAGGGGGTGATACGAGGCCGGGTCAGTGGAGCCGGAAACCAGATTACACCCAGTTTCTACAGGTGTAACGTGACAGGTGCGATCACTAGTTATGTCATTCACTAGGATATCATGTTTCTTTTTACTTTACTATCGTTCTTTTGTTTTTTTCCTCATTTTCTCCCCTCTGAATTGCTTGTTTGTAAATGTATATTCCTTCGGAATGCTATATGTTGGTGATGATATATTACCGGAGGCTTACATTGAGAATAGTCTACTTATTGTCTGTATACTGATCACGAGTACTACACCAAATACGTACCGAACAACATATGACTCTTGTTCCACTTAGCGGGTAATCTAGATGTATTATTCACAGTAGAAATAGGAAACATGTATACATTCTATAAGCTTAAGAGATTTTAAAGTCTTATTACGTTTTTAATGTCTAACATTATGTATAATTTCGGTTCTTTCATTCGCCTGATGCTGACTGTCGTGACCACTTACCGTTAAGCACTCACCCCTTTCATGATGTCTTTAGTTTCATATTTAAGTTAAATGTCTACGAGACTACATTGTGTTCCTCTCCGATATAATTGTTTACACCTTAACTCCCATAAAAGATTTTGCATTTAAGGAAACTTGACCCAAAAAGTTGTCGTGCGGATCGACATGAGGCGTGAATGGGTTTCCACCTAGCTCCGTTATGGGTACATTTAAGTGGTATTAGGGACATTTGATAGATGATACTTCTGATGACGAAACAATGCTGACCATGTATGTAGGTACATATACAGGTAGGAGAATATACAGGTAGTATACTTGAAGTGTAATTAACAGGTAAAATGCCAACACAAAGGTAAGTGTATAGGTATTGGCCACGCTGGGTGATTATCACACAGTATACGAGATGATCCAACATTATGTATATGTGCCAGGTATTTAATCGCCCGCCTTTGTATGAGATTCCACTATAAGTGTTTAAGTGTTGTATATATATGTTGACGTGTTATTAAAACTGGACATGTTCGTTACACCAGTGACCAAATATTTACAGGTAAGTCCACCAGTATGACGTACTATAGGATGATGAGGTTGGACTTGGGAGTGCAATGCTCTCGTACATGCATGAAGCTTTATAATAGTTCATGACATAGTTAATGATAGTGCATTAGATATATTTACGTACTTGTATCAAATATGTTGTATGCCTATTGTAGATAATAAGTTTTGGAGATATATTTACATACTTGCATGTAGCTTTATTATCGTTAATGATACACTTATACGTAGCTTTGAAATAGTTCATGATTATTTGAAATATATTTACACAAATGACATTTGTTACTGCAGCACAGACAGAGGTAAAATCAGACTATGATACGTGATTTAGAGATGTTTATGGAGTGTGGGGTTTTGTAAATAATATCAGTTATTACTTTAGTACTGTCTGATGGTCGGGCTGTTACCGGTGTGACGACGACACATGCGTATTTCACACTCTGTGTGCCGACAGAAGCATTAATGGTTTTGTGCTGCCGGTGTAAAATGAAGTGTTTCTCATTCATTGATATTTCTCACAATGTCTGTACGATGACCTGTATCGGCAGAACTACAGTACACTGAGACTGTAGTAGTTTGATTTTAAGTTCGATTTCGATCCCTTAGCTACAAATTATGCCTGTTGTTGGATTTTTCTATGACTTCGAAATTGTTCTCGCTGTATTTAAAAGTTAGAGGAAAACGACCATTGACGGGTTTATGTAATGATGGAGCAATACACTCATAGACTCGGTGTTATGTGGGTAATGACAACAACAATACACCCATTGACTCAATGTGTTGTGGGTAATGCCAAGAACAATACATCTATTGACTCAATGTTTGGTGGGTAGTGACGAGCTAAACACGCACTGACTAAATGTTTTGTGGGTAATGAGAAGAGCGATACACCCATTGACTCAATGTTTTGTGGGTAATGAGAAGAGCGATACACCCATTGACTCAATGTGTTGTGGGTAGTGACGAGCTAAACACGCACTGACTCAATGTTTTGTGGGTAATGAGAAGAGCGATACACCCATTGACTCAATGTTTTGTGGGTAATGAGAAGAGCGATACACCCATTGACTCAATGTTTTGTTGGTTACGAGAAGAGAAATACCCCTATCGACTCAATATTCATTGACCTAGTGTCTTTTGGGTTATTACAAAAGATATCTATATATTGACGTAGTAATTTGTTTATAATGACATGAACGATACACTGATCGACCGTATGCTTTGTGTGTTTCAGATTACGAGGAATGAATATTAATGTGCCACTTCCGTCAGAGCACTCTACATTCCGGAAATCGCCAAGCGAGGGTAGCGCCAAGTCGTCAGATCGGTCGTCTGACCTTGACCCTTCCGACTCTCCTTCCAAGTTCAAGGCCACCCTCTCAAAGTTGACCTCGTCGTCCTTATCATCTTTACCAAAAAGAAATTATTCCACTTCGTTTGACCCCGATCAACAAGGGTATAACGACATCCGGTTCCTGGCGGAACTAGTGAAACCCCTACAATACAGACTCCGTGTGTCAAAAAAAGAGAGGAAGGAGAAAGTGATTATTCCATCCAAACATGGCTACCACCCTCGTAGTCAGTCGCCAACATTTAAACGCCTACTGGAGGCTACAGAGAAACTCAATGTTCTGTGTGAGAATGATTCGTTGGAGGGACAGGTGAGACGGGATTATTCCCACATCAACAACGATGTAGACGCACCCCTTGTTCCGCTTAAAAACGGTGAACGACTGGCCCGGGTCACTAATGCGCGAGTTAAACCTAGTCACACAACGCCATACATAACGGATGTTACGACAAACACGAATACAGTTCCTAAAACTGATAATATTCATACCATCCCAGAAAAACTTGAGATTCCTAAACATTTCCCTAAAAGTGAGGATGTGATATCGGAGGAAGGGGATATTACTGACTCTAGCTCCACCAAATCAGACGAGGCTTATTTCAAAGTAGACTTTAAGGAGGAGGATGCGCACGCCGAACTTCATCTGTTTCTTCCTTACATATCTGAGCCGGTGACTGGTCGTGGGACTTCACCTGAGTCCAAGAATGGAGCAACCAATGGGAAGGCTGGTAACGGTGGTAGGGTAACATTACCATCCATACCGCGCCAATCAAACATGATGTCGCAAAAAACATTTTCCAAAAAAGCAAATAATAAAAACACCGTTAAAAAGAAGAAGAAGAAAATGGACAATAGATGTCCATCGGCTAAGGACAATGACCGAAAGGTGAATGACCACCTGAACGATGTACCCACTCTTATTTCCATGAACTACGAAAATGGACACCACGAACGGCGTGACCCTCACGCCGATGACACTATATGTGACGTAGCTAACTGTCCCTTCCACTCTCTCATGGCAGTGGCCAGGGCAGAGACGTATGTATAAGGCGGACATAAACGGTGATTCACATTTACTGAAATGTCTACAAGATGGAATTGGGTGATTGGACAGGAACGTACGGAAATGAAAGATGGGTTGATGCGAAAATGCCCGAATCGGGAATTTCCTTGTGAGATTGAGAAAAACGTAAAATCAAAAAGTGTACGCTTCCGTGTAGGTGTAGCATCCGCCTTGAAGTTGTGAAAAGCAACGCCTGTCATGTGTGTGCTACAATATAGTGTGTACACATCAACGACCAGGACTACCCGCACGCGCACTTAAACACTGCGAAATACTCGTGATGGTGGCGGCTCGTTCTCATTTCTGTACTCCATATTTATCTTTCCGCAAAGTATGCCGTCCACTTTCTTGACTTGTTCATGCCGGCATGCTGAACTTGTGTAACCCTGTGATAAGCCTTAATTGTTACAATGTTTAGTTAAATGCCACGTACTATAAGTGCGCGTGACTGCCGTCGTGAACGATTGCGAAATTCTACATGTGCCAATAACCTGTTATTTATCATTTAACTTATTAAACAACACTATGCAATGTACCTGACATATGATCTGTGTGTGCAGATAACATTAAAATGTATACCAAATATAAGAGTTGTCGCTCCTTACTCGGTTGGAATACATGTGTTTCAGTAAATTTCGACCAAGAGTTGTCGTTCCTTACACTCGTCCCTAACAACGGTTGAAGCCGAGATATTAAGCTAAATGTTGACCTATTTCAGTAAGTTTTTGCCATAAGAACTAAGAAGTGTTATTTTATGTAAAACATTGTAAAGAACGACAACTATTGGCTGAGATTGGTGATTCAGATTTAGTATATTCCGGTAGCCGTTAATTTTACAAATCTTTCGGAAAGCAATTCGGGGTATAGTTAGAACTTTTCGCAGACTGACCGTGAAATGAACAGTAATATAAAATTGGCGCAGCAGATTGTTTTTGTTCCCCTGACTTTGTCTTGTTGTTTGCACTTTTATGGCCCACAGTGTTGTAGAAGATAGTTAGAGCTTGCTGTACGTAGTATTAATGGTGCTATAGTATAGGGGACATATTAGGCCGAAACCAAATAAGATAAACAAAACAAAAAGATTTTCAGATGTCAGTTTCTTATTAGCTTATCTAGATAGTGATAAAAATATTAATTAAATTTAAATATTTTACAATGACATCAATTTTATAAAACAAGGATAGGTAAACTATATATGGCACGTTTTAAAACTAATCTTCCCAACGCCAGTGCGTGTGCTGTGTAAGACCAGAATCATCTTTTAACACGATAAATAACAGGGTTCTAATGTTGGTGGTAATAACGTTGATAACGGTTTTGTATGTATAATATCCTAGCATTCTAATGATAAGAGTCTGCGCGTTACAGTACACCCTCATTATCTTACCTACACATGAGATGTTCTGGTACTTTAAGTAAAGATGGTTGGTGTAAGATTACAACACTAAATTCGCTTAATGAACATAATTTCATATGTATAAATTAAGGAAACGCATATCATTCCGCGTTTTTAAAAAAAAATCAAATCTGATTTTTATATAAACCGATCCACTGGCCAATGAAATAAGGCAATCCTACCAGTGGCGCCACCTAGCGTGTTATAAAACATGGGGAGCGAGGGATTCCACACCTAAACTCAATCCCATTTTAAACGGCTCTGCTTTAAGTTCAAGACAAATGCATATTTTTTGCGCTACTTTATTGGATTGACATATGTTTATCGGTGCAAATACGTCATATTATAACGTCTTGTATGATATTATCGACTTACCTCTACTTTTTGATATTTTACAGTTACAAATTCAGATATCAGTCCTAAGCTATATCAACGAAATGTATATATTTAGAGGTGTTTTTCCGGTTATCATCAATGTCTTCCATATGGATATACATTTATACTGGTGAATATCCGATATTCACATGAAAAAATGCTCAAAAGTTATATTTTAATATGTTAACCAAAGATAAATACTAATTATTCCGAACTCTGCCCAACATAAATGTTCGGAGAAAGACTAATGAGGGACACAACAGAACAAACTAAAGGATAGAATCATTTATTGTGACAACAGCATCACACTTGGAGAGAAATATACATAACGATAAATGTGTGTAATTATGATAATTCAAACGTTAAGGAGAAATTAGAAAAGCATGTGCTGTATATCTTCTCTCATGAAAAACTGTATCCGACAATGGTCAGATGGCATTCATATCAGCTATGAATGTCATTTTCCAATTGTTGACGTCATCATTATTCTGACGTCAAAATTTGACGTTGGATACCTTGACCCTCCCTGGACCAATATGTGTTCTGTAATCTGAACAAATATATATATGATACACAAACTAATTTGAACTACATGCCGATTTTTATAAGTTTTCTTTAAATTTCCAAGAAGTTAACACATTCCAAAAATGGTAAACATATGTATTCAACTTCTTTCAGTTGACATTCACTGACATTATGATGGCCATCTTGACAAAGGCAAATTCAACATGAAGCGCGCTACTTAAATGTTACACAGTTGAATCAAGTAGTTGACTTAACACAAAGATGCTGACGAGGACTGGATCCAGTAGCCCAGTCGAGTCGACCTGTACGCTTTGCATCACAGCAAACGTCCGGATATGTGTATATTTAAGCATTGAACTGTTTTTGTATGGTATCTATGATCTATTTGAATGACACAGCTTTGCAAGCAAACAACATAATGCGCACACAAATTCGTTCAATAGTTGGAACAGCGTGTTGTCGCGTGCTGATTGGCAAACAAAGTAGCACTTTGAAATTTTAACAAACACTTCAATTTTATTCCACAATTCAGTATCAATACAATTGCGTATAGATATGTCTATAGGGTGATTGAAATTTATCAATAGAATTCTGAGCTGAAAGTTAGATTTGAAATTGTTTCGATTTTTCCCCGGAACAAATTTCGCGCATAGATAAATACAGTGAACACCGTAAATCCGACCTTGCCCTCCACGAGGGAGTTATTTTTGGAAGTTAATTCGAACTTTTCTCTTTGCTCATTTTGTGAAGAATCCAGACGTGAATTTATTTGATGATTGTATGGGAATCTGACTACAGTCGGTAGATTCTATTACAGCATCGTTATTTAACATAAATAAACTGAGGATATCGTGACTGCGAGACGCGTGACACTGATAGCGTTTGAAGTGAGTAATCTTGCGACGGAGCACAGGGTTTCGTTACAAATGTCTGAAATGTTTATGTGTGCTGTGAGGCCTGTAACATATGCGTCAGCAGGTCTATAGAATATGTGTATTTCAGACATTTTTAACGAACCCCTGTTGACCATGGCCAGTGCAGTGTAACAGACGATATTTCTGATAAATTGCATGAGCGTTAAAATTGTTAGCATTGCCGGCATTGGTGATTTGAACCGATGTGCATTTTGTACGATATTGCAGACCTTGGTCTTGTTTTCGTTATAATAAAGTGTTTTTTTCTTTTCTTTTTTCTTTTGCACATAAATTTACAACGACATTGTCAAGCCTCACAATGCCCAGCGATATTTCAGAAGCCGTCATGTTTAGTTACATTGGATATTTTAGTGCCGGTCAGTGTTGTATTAATACGCTAAGAATTGTGTCTCGTGCTGCATGGTGATTAAAGTCCCATCAACGACACAGCTTTCAAAGAGGCTATGTAGTGACAATGCCATGCAAATGTAAATATAGGTACTTAACTTAGCTGTAATCTGGGGAAATGATCTACATTGCAAGGGAGGTAACTCGAATGATGAGTATGTACTGAATGTAAATTGATTACCAAGATTGTAATTGGTAATTTTTCTATATGAGTGTAATAGTATGATAAAAGGACAGGGAGGGAATCAAAATAATGTAATACAATATAGTTTAAAGAGAGGGTGGGGAATTAAAATAATGTTATACAATGTATTTTAAAGAGAGGGTGGGGAATTATAATAATGTTATACAATGTATTTTAAAGAGAGGTTGGGGAATTATAATAATGTAATACAATGCACTTTAAAGAGAGGGAGGGGAATTATAATAATGTAATAGTATGGTAAGAGGACAGGGAGGGAATCAAAATAATGTAATACAATATAGTCTAAAGAGAGGGTGGGGAATTAAAATTTTGCTATACAATGCAGTTTAAAGAGAGGGTGGGGAATTAAAATAATGTTATACAATGCACTTTAAAAAGAGGGTTGGGAATTAAATGATGTTATACAATGCAGTTTAAAGAGAGGGTGGGGAATTATAATAATGTAATAGTATGGTAAGAGGACAGGGAGGGAATCAAAACTATGTAATACAACGCAGTTTAAAGAGAGGGTCGGGAATTAAAATAATGTTATACAATGCAGTTTAAAGAGAGGGTGGGGAATTATGATAATGTAATAGTATGATAAAAGGACGGAGGGAATCCAAACAATGTAATACAATGCAGTTTAAAAAGAGGGTGGGGAATTAAAATATTGTTATACAATGCAGTTTAAAGAGAGGTTGGAGAATTAAAATATTGTCATACAATGTAGTTTAAAGAGAGGGTGAGGAATTAATATAATGTTATACAATGTAGTTTAAAGAGAGGAAGGGGAATTACAATAATGTAATACAATGTAGTTTAAAGAGAGGGAGGGGAATTATAATAATGTAATACAATGCAGTTTAAAAAGAGGGTGGGGAATTAAAATAATGTTATACAATGCACTTTGAAGAGAGAGAGGGGAATTATAATAATGTCATACAATGCACTTTAAAGAGAGGGTGGGGAATTATTATAATGTCATAGTATAATAAAAGGACAGGGAGGAAATTAAAACAATGTAATACAACGTAGTTTAAAGAGAGGGTGGGGAATTATAATAATGTTATACAATGTAGTTTAAAGAGAGCGTGGGGAATTATAATAATGTAATACAATGTAGTTTAAAGAGAGGGAGGGGAATTATAATAATGTAATACAATGCACTTTAAAGAGAGGGAGGGGAATTATAATAATGTTATACAATGCACTTTAAAGAGAGGGTGGGAAATTATAATAATGTAATAGTCTAATAGGACTTAAGGGAGGGAATCAAAATAATGTAATAGTTTTTTTTTCAATTTGTTTATTAATTCCAGACATTCTTATACATGAGGAACCGTCTGAGGATGGAATACATCAGCTACGTCCCTTAACATCAATACTGTCTTAATTAAGTATTCGTTCAAGACTGACGTATTCAAATTTCATCAATGTTCTATGCACCGCTGTTCTGCAAGAAGGTTTTGAATAAAGCGAGATGTATCTTACCAATATTTTTCTTTTTAATAACCAGTTTATCATTAATGAAAAACTGGTTCACAAATATAACTTGCTTAAAATTACACCTAGATAAATCAATCTACAATATATTGACTGGAATTAATTGAAATGGGGATTGGGGGATAGTTGGATTAAAAAACAGAACTGATTAAGGAAAAGAAAGACAAAGATAAGAGAGACATAAGAGCAAGAAGAGAGGAGAAGAGATTCCCGACGAAAGCAATGATTATCTATCAGTAAATGAAAAAAATGAAGAAAAAAAAGGAAGAG